ATCCCAGGAGGACAATGCAAGCCAATCTTCAGACGAATTCCACAGAACACCCTGGTGGAGATACAGAAGCAAGTGACCGAGATGGAATCGAAAGGAATCATCAGGCGAACGCACAGCCCGTATTCATCACCCGTGCTATTGACGAAGAAGGCCGACGGAACCTATCGATTTGGCATCGATTTCAGAGAACTAAACAGGGTGACGGTGAAGGATGCATTCCCGATGCCTCAGATGGAAGAAATTTTCTCAAGCCTTCACAGTGCGAAGCAGATATCTCTGATTGATCTCCGCTCGGGATATTGGCAACTGCCGATCGCAGAAGAAGATCGCCACAAGACGGCTTTCAGTGTCAATGGCCAGCAGTATGAGTTTTTGAGAATGCCGTTTGGATTGTGCAACGCCCCGGCTACATTCAGGCGTTTGTTGCTGATGGTCCTCGCGAACCTGCAAGGCGTGGTTGTGTACGGTGATGACATCATCGTCTTCTCTGAGACAGAACAGGAACATGTGACCAGACTTGGAGCAGTACTGCAGAGACTGGATGAAGCTGGTCTGAAACTCAGTCGTAAAAAGTCGCAGATTGGCCAAAAGTCAATTGTATGCTTGGGTCACATCGTGGGCAATGGTCAAGTCCATCCACTTCCGGAGAAACGCGAGACTATCAAGTGCTTCACAAAACCAAAATCCAAGCGTCAGCTCCGTTCGTTCTTGGGTGTGGTGGCATATGATTCAAAGTTTGTGCCCCAGTTCGCAGAGAAGGTCAGCCCGTTGTTAAAGCTGCTTCGCAAGGACGTGCCGTTCGTGTGGACAGCTGAAGCGGATCAAGCCTTTGACCAGCTAAAGGCATGCATAGCAGAAGCCCCGACATGTCTACGGCTACCCAATCCTGGTGAGAGGTTCACTGTGGCGGTCGACGCAAGCAACATGGCAATCGGTGCGGTTTTGTCTCAACCGGCTGGGGTGGTGGAGTACGCGAGCAGAGTGCTGACGGGGGCGGAGCAGAAGTATTCAACAACGGAGAAAGAATGCTTGGCCATCGTGTGGGCGTTAGAGAAGTGGAGAAATTACTTACTGGCGAATGAATTCCGGGTCGTCACTGACCACAAACCGCTCTCGTGGTTGATGACGGCGAAAGACCCGCGGGGACGGCTTGCGCGATGGGCCTACCGATTGCAGGAATTCAACTTCACCATTGAGCACGTGGATGGTACGCAGAATGTATTGCTAGATATGTTGTCACGCCCGTGTTTGGACGACATCATGCCAGACCATGCTATACCGGTGCGTGCGTTCGCGATGGGAGAAAGGAACCTGCTGGGAGATCAAAGGACAGATGAATTCATGAATGTGTTGTGCTCTCACTTACGGGCTGGCACCAAACCGGAGGCTACATCGGAGGAGGTGGAGGAACTCCTCAAGATCTGGGACAGGTTGAAGGTCGAAAACGATAACGTGGTGGTGGCGATAGACGGACGGAAAGTGCCTTTTGTTCCACCAAATCAGCGAGAACGTGTGATGCGCATAACTCATGATGGCGCCCATATGGGATTCGAGCGGGTCTTTGAATTGTTGCGGAGGCGAGTGTTTTGGCCAACTATGAGGAAGGACGTCGCGGCATACCTTCGGGAGTGCCCAAACTGCCAAACGAGTCGGGAGATGGAGTCCCCGAGACCGCCGATGCGGTCGATGGAGGTTGGTGAGCCACTTCAGTGTTGGGGACTGGACGTCTTTGGGCCCTTACCAGTGAGTCGAACAGGAAACAGATACATTCTAGTGATGATTGACCACTTCACTCGATGGGTGGAAGCCATACCAATCAAGGACCAAACAGGCGAGACAGTGTCGCAAGTATTCGAATTCAATGTGCCTGCAAGGTATGGGATCCCACAGTGTATTATCACGGACCAAGGGCCCTGCTTCGAGTCAAGAGCGTTTAAGTCAGTGTTGGACAAGTGGGGCATCCAGAGACGGCGAACCTCACCGTACCACCCACAAACCAACGGCATGACCGAGCGGTTCAACCGGACATTGAAGACGTGGATAAACTGTACGAAGTTGGCATGGGAAGATGCTTTGCCTCAGGTTCTGATCGCGTATCGGACCAGCATTCAATCAACCACCAAGGTCTCGCCATTCGAATTACTGTTCGGCAGAGAACCACGGATTGCGCTCGATACTTGCCTACCGAACCAGGGTGAGTGGAAACATCCAGCTGAGCATCAAGAGCGACTGCGATGGAAAGCTAGAAGCGAAACCAAAGCCCGACAAGCGCGGAATAAGCGAACTTACGACGCCAGGCATGAGGCTCACAAGTGGAGGCCATTCAGGATTGGAGAACGGGTCAAGTTACGGAACAACGATCGGCCGGATCATGACGGGCCGGGCGCAAGCAAGTTCAGAGAACGCTGGAAAGGCCCCTACACCATTATCGACCAGAAAGCGGGCAACTTCTTAATCGACTGCGGAGGAATGAACCGTTGGGTGAATGCTGCTCTCCTGCGACCATGGTACGAGAGGAAGAAAGGTCCTGGAGGAGGGGCGGGTGTAGAGGGGCCACTTCCAAGAAGGGCTCTGGGGAGCTCTTCGGAGCTAGCTGAGAGCGGATCGCGAAAGACGGCTAGCGACGAGCCTGGGCCCGGAACTACGGAGCGGGAACATGTGGACAGTGCAATAAATCAGACAAATACGCCGCTAGCGCAGCCCACAGGACCGAGGCCGAGCCGATTGACACAGCCCAGAACAAGCAAGTCGAGAGCTCTCGAACGACTCCTGGCCGATCCAAATCGGGTGCAGAGAAGCGGAGATCGAGGCGAAAACAGGAAGGCGGATCTTCCAAGTCAGAGCTCCCGAGGCGAAAGGACTGGCTCGCCTCTAACATCCGTACCTGTGTTGCGTGGTGGGACGGAAATCTAGTCGATATTCGAGGGCGCGCGCGAGACCCTCATGTGCCCATTTTCGGTGTGCAATAAACGTCTACCCCCCCTGTCGTGTCGTTCTCGCTACACTAGGGCCAGTTCAGGTTGTTGTATAGAGCTCAACGCCAACAAGTGGGTGACCATCCTGTCCTGCTTCAGCTGTTGGCGTGTTTTGGCATTGTTTCCGTTCTGAGCTGTACGGTGACAGAATTGTATTGGTAAGTTGCTTGCTCAGTGTTATATTCTCTATCTGTGGCCCGGTGCCTATTGCCTTTATACGTGTTTCGAATGGACGCATTTTACGCTTTTTGGTGCCACATTTTGATCACATGTTCTGCCATTAGTTTGGAGTGAAATAATACTTCCATCACTCTGGGACCACACTCTTTGTATTAAGGTGATAGCGGTAACGTTGATATCGAATTAGCGATAACATTTTCGAGTGAGAGTACTTAACGAATAAAACGCCATTCATCCCAGTCATGTGCTTTGACCTCTAGCTCGCTTAGTGACTGGAGCTCGGGGACACAGTGAACAAGGATAGATTTTGTGTCTTGTTTTCTACGGAAGTCATTCGGATTTCATTTGCATTTTGGAGTTCGCTCCAAAGAACATTTGGAAATATTCGAACAGTGCATGTGGTGGTACGGAAGCGAGTGGCTCACAAGAGAACTGCCTCTGCATCAGTAACTGACTGAAGTGTTACCTGGAGTAACCGCGGTTCACCGTAGTGTACGGAGTTTGGTTGACGGACAAGGCGCATCATACTGACTGCTTTAGCTTGAACTCCTATTAGTTGACCCAAGGTGTCCCACTGTTTTTGTCGTCTAGTATCTTATCTTTTACGAAGTTCGCCCCGGATTCAGTCACATTAGAGCATATAATAGCTAGAGAATTATGGTAGTGTTTCAGGTTCTCCATTTTGGAGGTATCAGTGACTGCTTTCTTCGGTTGGACAAATGATGGGGTCTTGAGTCCAGTGGTGGTATGAGCAGTAGTAACTCGTTTGGCAGCTGACGGAGTTGCAATGGGAGGTGCCTACGTCATATGGGTAGCAACAACGGACGCCTAGGTTGTCGGCCCTCTAACATTGTTTAGTGTGGCGAGTGATTTTGTGGGGGGAATGTGTGGCGAACGCGTCTTTATGAGCAGACGCTAATGTTGGAGTGGCTAAATCTGGATCGTTACTCTTACACTGTGCCGAATTGAAGATTGATGTTGAGCATCGAGTTCGAGGCACTGATTTGTCTGGTTCGTTTGGGACAGCTTTCACGGTTGCTGCATGCTCTACAATATTTGTCAGCCTATGGTACATCTGCGACAACACGGTTATACATCTGCCGAGTGGAAGAGACGTACGCTCAGTGTAGAACCAGAGTGAATCAGTCGTACTATTAAGCTTATTTTATCTGGCTAAGACTAAGTCGAGCACATCGGGAATGAAAGTATTTTCGGCAGTTTCTGCATTCTATTCCAAATCGCTCAAGTTTTACGCAGCTGTCTAATCCAGAATTAAAGTTTATTTCGGAAGGTTTGGGCTTAGCTTTCCGTTGGCAACCAGTACGTGCCATTGTGACGGTCAGATCTGCGGAAGCCGTTCGTTGCAACGTCTGCACTGGTATGCTGAATCCAAACGGCGTCGGTTAAGCTGGTGGCCTGGCAGACACCTGTTCGATTGCTGTAGAACAACTCCAAGATGGCGGACGCAGACGGCAGTTGGGCTAATCAATGCGATCTCCGATAGTAGCCATAGAATATCCACCAAATTCGAACAGATGGAAAAATACACCAAAAGCAAAGTATTGGTGCAAAATTCACATGGAAAACACACTTATAACACAGTATTTCAAAAGCAAAAGTAGGATCCAGCACGGTAAAGTAAAAATCCGCGGCGTCCTTATCTACAGCCGAAGGAAGTCCCATCGAGTGGGGTTATCTTTGTTGGGACTGTACGGTAGCGCTTTCACTAACACTTTGCGGCTACGCTTTCTCTGGGCCACAGTACTTGCTACAACCACTAATCTAGGCGGTTATCCATAAAAATAAGATTACTTTAATGCTTCCCCTTTGTTTTGCTTTCCTTAGAACGAGTTACTCTCAATGCAGAAAGAGAGGATGGCTTGGTATGAGCATCAATCGGACCTAGTGCAGACTCTGCACGCACAAGCAGATCAAATCGATGTTCTGAAGGTAAATTCCCAAGTTATTTCCCATATCCACCATTGTGAGCTCTTTCGTCTTCTTGTATCGTCCTTAAATCACGTATAACAAACCTCTAACCGGTAGAAATGTCTTGAGTGAATTCCTCAGACCACTGTAAGTACTCAGCTTTGGGAATATTATTAACGCTTCTCACTCACAGGGTTTCACAAATCCCACTGCGCACAAGTAATTGAGCTTCATCTGCACAGCTTCGGAAGTGCTGTGTCGTACCCAGTCGCCATGCGGAAACTTGTGCTCTGAAGCCAACCCTGTCCTCTGTTCACAGTTCGTAACCGGAATGGCAGTGGGGGATGCGCTTCACTGTATCACAGTTAACTATTAGCCACACATGTCTGCCGAGGTCAACTGTGACTTTGGATGCATAAACTACTGGCACCCAAAAGGCATGGGGTCGGAACACTGAAACGGTCCGAGGAAGATCACCGCTGACGGAAACCGGAATGTCGAGTCGACCGACTGGAGATTTCCCAGAGGTGTGCGGCATGCTTGGCTGAGACGTGATTACGATGAAACATATCCAAGTTACACTTAAACAGCCACACTCTTCATAGGTAAAGAATGATTTGTACCTCTAGCTAGGCTCTTTGTATGACGATGTTGTGACTGCATTTACGATGAAATTGCACCCCAGTGTCACACAAGTGTTTGCTTGTCTCCGTGTTCTACTGAACTGTGCTGGGTGGCACTTTCAGCCTGCCTCCTATTCACTCATAAGAATAGGACAATGGCTTGGACTCAGGTAAACTTGATGCTTACATCCACCTCGCAGGAAGTTGATGAGAGAACAGGGGCTTTTTCCCACCAAACGCACACTTTCGTCAAACTGAAAGCTCAAATGCAGTGACTGAAAACCATCGAACTACGGGTACTAGATGCACTGCGAGACGATAACTCTTGCTCGCTGATTCTCCGCCACGATTCTTATGCTGGGCAGACCCTAACCAGTGAGGTATCAACCAACCAAAATCCCTCTGCGGTTGACAGTAGAATAAGGGCACCGTCAAACAGCCGAAAAGAATGAACCATCGATTTGAATTGTGCACAAAGTTTTGAACTAACTGTTTCTGCAGTTAACAAGCCCAAAGTAATTCCACGCAGAATTCTTCATGGAGATCCCGAGCTGGGCCTGGTTTTCACTGTCTTGTGAGCCTTAAGTCTGAGTTGAGCGCAAAAGTGAGCATCTCGGAACCATTTCCTTCCATGATGTGGTTTCCAGGGAGTATCAGATGCCGAAAACCACCTGCTGTTCCTTCTACTCTGCCTGTACCTTCTGTTCAGTAGTCAGCCACAATCGACTTCACAGCTGGCCCAACGACGTTTACTGCTTGTCCTACGGATCATGAATCCCCCATGAGATATTATTGAGATCATTAGGAGGGGTATCTTGACAACATCATGCTGAGGCAGAAGGCCGAAGCGAACTGGTTTTGATGAAACACAGCAAGACACCGATCGTGACGACCTTCATGAGTGGGGTACTAGATGGTTGTTTGAACCAGTATTACTGGTGTGGCGTAGAAAGCAGGAAGCCAATCGATGGCTGCCGACGCATACTGATCACACGTGAACGAACCAGAGAGAATCATCAAGATTTGCAGAGCACAGAGGAAACGAAGCACAGCTTTTTCACAAACAGCGGCTAAGCGCATTGCTTTGAATGGACCCGAGCGGCCGAAGCGTGTGCAATAACCGGACAAAGGAAGAACTGATACACTCAAATATGACTTGAAGTGAAACCAACAGAAGTGTTTGAAAAACGCAGAAAGTACCAACCAATGAATGTAAACAACCAGCGGAAGATGCTAACATACAACTTAATCAAAATGAAGTGGTCACATGCAAACAGATATCCTCATTCGCGACACTACGAACGATACGTTACTTTAGAGATAACAGATTTCCATCGTTGTTTACATATTTTATGGACTCTTTGAGGACTACAGGACAAAGAGCCCTTGCCACTCACTTGCTGAATTGTCTAGTGTTTCTTCTCAATGTCACGTGATGCACTGAGACTTCAGAATGGTGGGTTTTAGCACTCATCTGTCTCATTATAGTCTTGGGATGACACAGGGAAGTAACTACTATACTGGTCCCATTGCCATTACTACTTGTTTGGGCACGAAAATGAATCGACGCTGACCCTCGACAGGTTCGAAGCAGTGAGGGTCAAATTAGTTATCTTTCCATCAGTGTAAGCATTAATCATTTGTTTCCATTCATTGGTGATGAAATTTGCTTTATACTCACACACGGTTAGCATTCCTTTACTAGGATAACAGTTTGGCAAAATTTGTTACACTTGTTTGTGAAGCTGCCTTTCTTTAAAAGCAGCGCCAGATATATTCCTCTCAATTCGGAAATCACTATAGTCCACTTCTCATGGTAGAGCATAAAGGATCCGACGGGTAGCTTCATCTTCGGTGCCGACCTATTTATCGCTGTCTAATGATATAATCTGAATTATCATTCCTGTTGGAGAGGCAAAACGGCCTGATGCTGGGATGCGCTTTCTTGACGCAAGTCAAAGGTCTGCGAACTAAGTCAGCTAACTCAGTGAACACTCGCCCACCTTGGTGGTCGAACCGAAAACCCAATCACGCGTGGGCTTCGAGTGAGCCGTGCCAAGATTGTTGAGCCGCGACACGAGAAAACTTTTTGGAAGTCAAAAGATTAAGGGGCCGGAGACCTCAAGCCCAGCTGAGTCTACGTGTCAGCCAGGACATCAGAGTAACAGACATCAAACATACTTGGCATCCTGGGACGGAAGCCTGTAGCCATGTCAGTATGATGGCATATGTTTGACTTATGAAAATGATCATGAATAATTCGAATAACTTCCCATTCTGGTCCGCTAGTTTCCCCCGGCTGGGTTGGACGCGGCACCAGGCAGTGAGCGAAGACAGGTCAGCGTTACGACAGTGAGTGTTTACGACAATATGACACCGAGTCGTCTACATTTCCTCTTTCTATCAAAAGGAAAACTAGACTGCTTAAAAGACTGACAATTTTGGAGCACCCCAGTGATGTGGTAGTGCTAGATTCGGGTGCACTCCTTGTAGTAACAATGTTGGATGACTTGCGTCGATTGGTACATGTTTCTTCATTTGATCCACATTATCAGGGTGCACATGGTAACCGACGCACCAATACTTCACAGGATTACCAAAAAACCGATGAGACTAACCAACAAGCTAACTCTCCCAGGTGCCTGTGCCTCTAAGGATGCTCTAGTATGGAAGGCACTACCGCCTGCCTAAGTAAGACACCCATTTTTCCAAACATTCAGGTTCGTACGGAGGTGTTAAAAACACTGGGCTGTTAATCGAACTTTTGTTACACAACACTTCAAAGATCAGTGGTCTCTTCGTTCACATGGCTACTGCACGCCGGAAAAAGTCGGAAGGCCTGAGTTGTGAGATGCTCAGACATTGCACGCACTGTATCAAACCAAGGACGCACCATATCCCACCTAACTAGGTCAGCTGCGAAGGAGCAGTGACTCCGCGGTGGTCAATTGGGGTTCTTCGCGCTACCACGATGCATTCTAAGTTAGATGTTGCTACTCTGCGAACGGCGGCCATTCTCGATCAAAAACAATGGTTTCTAGCAACCTGACAGTGTGGATCTACTAATTACAAATAAGAACAGTAATTGACAGCAACACTGACTTGCTAACCAGTGTTCGATAACCGCCCTGTGGTCACTGAAGCAACACTATTCTCCGGCTCCACCCATCCCCCCACCGTAGAGTGTCGAAAGCAGCACTCTCTCCACTTCCAGGGTTTCTGAGGTGAAGATCACTTGAACTAGGTAGAACCGCGTAGACGTGAGGGAGCAACCAAATTATACCGGAGCGAAGCTCTTAACACGTTGTTACTGACTTGCCGTGTTGCTCCACTATACACTGACTTTTTTGATAGAACCACGCGATCACTATGTGATCAGTAGGTTCATATCCACCTTAAGTTGACAACATAATGCTAGATGTGGAGTCAGACAAGAGCGTTGCGCATACAACCAAAATCCTTAAATATTGCGCACACTACGTATTATGCGTCGGAAACCCTGCTGAAACGGAGTGTAAATGGGTATCAGCTCGTAAGCGCCTTCTGACTGTAGCTTAAACAGGAATTCAGACGCAGTTCGACCTGATTCAAGCACAACTTGATTAAATCAACTTGACGACAGGTGTTAGGACATGTGGACGAAGCTGCGATAAATCTTATTCACGACAGCCGAACTTTACAAAGAAAGGAACTTCATACCATTTATTCAGGGGGCAGTAACCAATGCCATTATGGTAACTAATTTTTATCGACTAGTACACGTGGAGAGTTGAATGCAGCTTAGTAGTACATGTTTTTACTCATTCTACGTAGCCCGTACGTATGCTAGCAGGTTACTTCTATTCAAACGAACCAATGAAGGCTGCGTTACTATTTTCGACACGCAGGTTGGTTGACAGGAAGGCTGATCGATCAAAAAGGCGAGACCCCTTGTTCAAGAGAATAGCCCCTAGGCGCGACAAAGGCGAGCCGAATGATGTGAGTAAATCAGGTCGGCAGAACTGACCTCCAACAAGTGGGCTTATATTGATTTTCAACGGCAAACACAGGGTTGTGAAAGCTATGGTATTTGTAGCATATATATTGAGTTTGGATGGATGAAGGTATACAGTAAACAATGGTTTTCTATTGCGTGAACGCGCCAGTGTACTTTTGCCGAACACGTGACAGTCGTGACAAATGGCGAGTCAGCGTGGTGTGAACGATACTGTGAAGACAAACTTAAGTCCCCATAGCATAGACAAATCCAATTGTATAAGAACAGCGCGCACCAGAGGTTCATGACATCGGAAATCGAAACACGGCCAACAGAATCGCTCGTCACGAGCACGGGAATGCACGCGCTGAAACCACATACCGGAATTGCATGTTGTCTGTGGTTCGGTACTCGGTTGCATT